GTGTTATTGGGGCGACGGGCGGGGGGATGCACGGCGTGCGTGCGGGATGTGTTATGGGGCGACGGGCGGGGGGGACGTACGGCGTGCGTGCGTGATGAAGGACGAAGAGAACGAGGAGAAGGACGAGGAGGAGGAGGAGAGGGGAAGAGGAGAAGGAGGATAATGACGGAGGAGACGGAGGAGACGGAGGAGAGACGGAGGAGACCTCAGAGACGTAGGAGACCTCAGAGACGGAGACCCCTGAGACGGAGGAGACCTCAGAGACAGAGGAGACGGAGGAGACAGGACCTCGAGCTAAGATGCTGCGAATGCCGTTCTCCGAGGGTGTCTCTAGCGAGGGCCTCATTTTTAACGAAAGACGTCTTAACCACACGGCTTCCACATCTCAATTGTTCGAGGATGTCTCAGGCGAAACTGCAATTTCCAACGATTCGCTGAATTTCGTGAGTGAGCTCCGAAACTCATTGTTCGAGGATGTCTCGAGCGAGAGCCTCATTTTTGACAAACGACGTCTCAACTACACGGCTTCAACATCTCACTGTTTCGAGGATGTCTCGAGCGAAACGGCCATTGTGAGCGGGATCCGTCCATCGCGAGTTTGTTCTTTCTTGATACTAGAAATGGTAGAAAACTCCCATCACCTTCTCGTTCCGAGAAGGCGCTTCCCGTCATCCGCCACCGTGCCTGCACGGAGTGGGCGTGTCAGAGTGCTCTTCTGTTGCCTGGGAAATTGTTATGGTTTTCTAGGGCCCCCTAGAGCGCCCCCCTCATCGCGCGCACCTGCCGAAAACCGCTCTCCAGCGTGACTTTCGGCCTCCAGACGGCCAAGATGGCCTCCATGACGGTTTCCAAGACAGCCAAGATGGCACCAAGACGGCCCAAGAAGGCGCAATAAGCTCCCAAGACGGCCGAGATGGCAGCAAGACGGCCCAGAATGGCCCAAGACGGCTCAAGAAGCTCCCAAGACGGCTTCCAAGCCGCTCCAGGAGGCCCCCAAGACGGCCCAAGAGGCCTCCAAGAGGCCTCCAAAATAGCTCCAAGACTGCCCAAGAGGCTCCCAAGAGCACCCCAAGTCGGTTCAAGAGGACCCACAGATCGCACGAGGGGCTCTCAAGAGGGCCCCGAGACGTCCCTGGAGCACCCCGAGAGGGCACCGAGACGGCCCAGAGAGGCACCCAAGACGGTCTCCGAAGTCGTCGGACGGGCGAAGCGTCCCTTAAGACGGCCCAAGGGGCCACAGGAGGCCCCCAAGAGCCCCCAAGTTGCCCCCAGGAGGAACCCAGGAACCCAGGAGGCCCCAAGAGGCCCCCACGAAGACTTCTTCTCCTCGTCCTCATTTTCTCCCTTTCCTCCTCCTCCTCCTCCTCCTCCTCCTCCACCTCCTCCTCCTCCGCCCCTCTTCCTTAAAAACAAATCCTCCCTGTCGCACCCCGCGGCTGGTCGAAAGGGCGGGCCGAGCGTTTCGCCTTAAGACTTCCTCACCATTGACGATCCTGAAGGGCGGGTCGCTTACAAAATGTGGCTCTCGCCTGAGCGCCGCGCACATTCGTTTGAAACCTCTGCAAGAGCTTAACAGATGGAAGGCGGGTCCCTTTCAAAATGTGGCTCTCGCTTTAGCACCACGCACATTATCATTGAAAGTTCGCAAGAGTGTCACGGATGGAGCGCGGGCCGCTTTCAACATGTGACTCTCGCCTTGGCGCCGCGCACATTCGTCTTTAGAATTTGCAGCAGTGCAAGGGAGCAGCATGGCTAACGTCCCAGGGTGCTTTGGCACGATGTCGAAATGTCAGGGCGCAACAGTCACGTTGGCTCGCGAAGTCGAAGTCCCAACAACGGTGTTAAGACGCAACAGTAACCGTGATTCGCGGCGCTTAAGTCCCAAGAACGGTGTTCTGGCACAGTTCTGAATTTTCAAACGGCTGTCTTCCAAAGGGCCACTCCCTCAGTGAAAACGAATCCTTGCAGAGGAGACCTATGACGAGGGAACGTGAAGGGAGGGCTTCTTGAATGAAAAGGGAGGAGAGGGCAAGACGAAGGCAGCGTCGAGAAAAAATCTGACCGACACGAATCGGGGATTTCTGAGAACCAGCGGGCTTGGAGGATGTATTACCGGGCGCCGCGGCTGTTTCAGCGCGTTGCGGAACGCTCTGAGAGCGTTCTAGAACGCTCTGGAGCGGATCTATCTCGACTCTGTCGGTGGCTCAAAGATGGGGTCCTGCGGGATGGGGTGCTAAGGGCGAGGTGCGTCGAACAACGTAATTCCACCCTTGGATCCCGTCCTATCCTCAGGCCCCCATGCCTCAGGACCCCGTCTTTGAACCACCGATTCTATCGGGGGGCACAAGGGTAGGATAGCAAAGGGCAGGGCAGGGAATCAGCTCACAAAGCTGGTTTTCTTGGCGCCCCCTGGCGCCGGGAGACGCCCATGTATCGACAAAAAATGGGCCCGGCGGCGGGGCGGAAACCAGCTGTATGCAGCAAATTTCGTAATCCCAATCCCCCCCCTTCGTCCGACCCGGTTCTTAAGAGGCAAATACTGGGAGGCCTTCGTCGGAAGGATCTAAGAGGATTGAGCCCCATTGGGGGGCTGCCAGGTCGGATTAGGCCACGAATTGAGCGGGATCGAGCGGGATTCAGCCAGATGAAGCGGGATTCAGCGGGATGAAGCAGGATGAAGCGGGATTGAGCCGGACTTCGGACCAGGGCAAAGTCGGAACTTGACCTCCCAGGAGTTGCACCCGAGCGAGTCTAGGCTTCGGTCGGGCGTGTCCGCCTACAGGCGGATTTTGACAGGAAAAAAATACCCCATAAATGCCCCCCAAATACCCCACAATGGTCAAAAAATCGTCCCCATACTATTTTTGGACTATCTCTGGATATTCCCCCTGTAGAGGCACAGGCCCGACCTAAGTCTAGGCCCGTCCGATCCCCCCCCTGGGGGGGCAGCCACGCGGTCGGGCAGCTCCCGGAAGGGGGCGTCCGTGTCGACGGGCACGTTTGCGCTCGCCGGCGAGGGGCGGTGGGCTTTGCCGGCGGCCTCGGGCGCCCTCCGCAGGGTTACCCGATCGCCCCCCCTCCCCCCCTCCTTTGCCAGCCTCCCGCCTCTCCCCTCCAAGCGACCTCCTCCCTCCACATCCTCCCCATCGCCCCCCTCCCTCTTCTGTCGCCTCCATCCATGCCTCCGCCTCCTCCTCCTCCTCCTCCTCCTCCTTTTCCAGTGGTTCTCTCTCTTGGCTCCCACCAATCAATGATCGAAGAGCTGCGACAAGGGCCCCCAGACACCACCGACCATTTCTGCCCCGCACCTGCAGGGCGGAGCCCGAAGGCCAGGACCGCCGTGCAGGCGTAGGGCAGAGGCCCAGGTGCCTGGCTGCCCCCCGCCACCGCCCGTAGGCTATGGCCAAAGTCCGCCGCCCGCCCACGGTGGGGCGAGCACGCAACAGTCATGAGATAATAAAGTTAAATGTGCTGCAGCCTGGTCCACCATTCAACCCCCTCGGATTCAGGGTGGGCCATGGGCCACGGTTTGGAGACATGCTGGCCTTTCGGCCACGGAAACTTACCTCTCAGCAGCTGACGTCGCTGCTGCTTATAAACCTTCAGACACGGGGACCCGAATGCTCGAGCCTGACCAGAAGTATAGGCCCCGCAACTCATGCAAAATACTATGGGAGGATCCGTCTCCAAGACTCTGCACACATATTGCCTATGGGGAGGGGTCACCTGGAGGTCCCTGAGCTTCATCAGGGACGGGGTCAGGGCCGCACACTTCCCAGGGGCCGATTTATTAGTGAAACACTTGGCACATCTGACAGAACGCCAACGATTCCCATTCCAAAGCACTCGGTGAGCGCGGCTGCTAAGGGGCCTCGGCTCTCAAACTTCGGCAACGTTTCTATCGAGCTTCCCGTAAAGCTCTTGGGCTCTCGGGCCATCGACCAGAATATTCGCTACACCTAAGGCCATCTCATTCCAACCATCCAGACACACTTCGTAGCGATGTATACTTTCAACAACTTGGGGATGTATCTTGGCGCCGTCTTTAGCGAACTCGTCGGCACGGCCATTCCCTTCTCGATGCCTCAAAGCCTTTCCAGCGAGGTTCTCATCAGCGACATGCTTCTTCACTTTGAACAGCCGCCAGCAAGGAAAGTTGTTTGAACACAGCGCTCGCCAACCTTCTGCCAGCGGGCCCTGGCCCGAGGTGGCCTGCAGCGGGCCCTTCTCACCCGACAGCAGGCTCTCACAGTCGATGTGAATGGTGAAGCAGACGGGCTCGTCATCATCGTCATCATCATCATCATCATCGGGTACGTCATTGAGGTGTTTGAGGCACTGGAGGAGACCGTAGGCTTCTGCAAACACTGCCGACTGAAGTAACAACCCTGGAAGATTACCGTGCACAGCTTTCAGGAAGTTACTTGCCTCGTCGACAGCAATCACTGCCCATCCTCCTCGAGCGACCAACTCATACTTGCCTCCCAAACACGATCCATCAGAATAAATTAAATCGGATTTCTGAAACCTGAACTCAGCAATCGGCCCATCTGGGCCCGCATATTCGACTTCACCATCCCAAAGCGGCTCGGGAATTTCGCCAGGGATTGGAAGCCAGAGATTGCTGAAGAAAACGTCGTTCTCACCAGCAGCTAATCCTGCTTGTGCCCACTCCGTGGGCATGAACTCTTTACGCTTGTCGCTGAAGTACGGGCACTCGAACACTCTGTGCCACGCACTGTCTATGGAGCCACCTGCCGCCTGCCTGCAGAAAGGACAGAGAGGCTCCACCTGATACCGCCACCTATGTAGATGGCTGGCCGTAACATAGCTTCTAATGAACACCTGTTTGATGATACGCTTGATGTTCTTAGACCTTTTGCCGTTCCAGATGGCCCTAGGAAGATCAGTCCAGAGACCCCTGGAGAGTATTTCACCCGCGCGCTCGTGTTCACTACATTCTAAATGCCTTCGCATACTGGATACCACGAACTCCTTCCCTAAGTCCTTGACGACATAATTAGCTACTTGACAATAAGGTGTGGCCGTCAGAATACATGGAGCCCCACTTCTCATGGTAAAAATGCCAGGGCCTCTGATAGCCCAGGACGCTTTTTTCAACCAGAGCAGCATATCGCCCACCGGCCCCCAAGACAGTAAATCCCAGGATCCCCGCGGTCGACGATCTTGATAAAACTGCGTCGCATTCTGGATTTTTGACAGCTCCCCGATGGGCAAACAATCTCCAGGACGGTGTTGTTCATCAGAGGCCAGCAAATACTCCTTGGCGAAACGTCTGAGGGTAGCTCCTGCATGTCATAATGGACCCATGCTCGGTTCCAGTGAAAAGGCCAAAATTCAAATCAGCTCCACAACTAGTTAGCCCAAGAAAGCCTGCGGCTTGTGATCGGAGACGACGGACTTCGACAGGGTTCCATCCCACCACCTCCCCCCCGTAAGTAGTGTAGTGGCAAGTTTCACCCCACAAACCCAAACCTTGGCACGACTCCTTCTTGGGTTCTTTGAGCTCTTTATCTTGTTCAGTCTAGTTTTTTGTTTGCCCCATCGTTCGCGTCGCTTTTTCTTGACATGCTTCAGACTATTGAGTTTTACTGGGCTATAATCTACACCTAGATTTGTAACCGAGATGTCGCATTCGCCCGCGTACTGCACAAGGTTCTCCCTTGCGGCCCTCACCAGTTGCTCGCTGGAGCCCGTGATGAATTATTTCTTCAAAGAGAGAGTGAGATTGAAAAGCTGCGACAGATGGTCAGTCAGGAAAGCGAGCGCCAGCGCCATGTCGTTGACACATGACCCGACGGCGTCGCCTCTCGAATTCAACGCAAAGTCGCCCACGTGGACTGCCAGACTCGGGAGGGAAACCTTTCTCAATATACTTATTGACCGTTGGAACACAATACACTTTAATATCAAAAGTCGCCGCGCTGCTGCCTGCTACTACGCCCTGATGCGGTTGAATAAGCTTGGACATGACTCCGCCCACGTTGAGCGCGCGCTCCCACCCGTACGCGCGCAGGGAGAAACGAAGAGCAGACAGGGGATATTGCCAGTCGATTGCCGCTTGCACTAACTGCGGGCGTTGAACATGTGCGCAGCATTGGGTTAGATCAGCTAGCAGGGATAGTACGTGTTGCTCTTCACTTACTGCTGAATCACCTCGGACCTGCTGCCTCCAAACTGTGTCCGTAGGCGAGCGACCCGCCCTCATCGAAAAGACCCCATACATCCTGGACGCGATGTTCCCATTCCTTGCATGCCCTGGAGTGCCACCTGGAAATCAGCCCGACCAAACTCTGATAAAATCCCATCGGACGTCTTCCTGGCACAGGCTTCCGAAACAGGGCTATAATCAACTTTCGCATCCAGGACGGGGATGAGCCGAGCACCGCCACCAGGCCCATGACCTGGCTGAAAAGTGAGAGCGCGCCCTCGCACAACACGTGGCAATGCCGAGGGTGAAACCCATCTGCTGCTATAGTCGATCGCTTGAAACTTCTACTTAGATGACGGATCTCTTCTGGGGTGGGAGGAGATGGGATAGCCATGACTTCAGGCCAAACCAACTCCTTCTGCCCCTTCCCCCCCCCCCCCCCCCCCCCCCATGCCTTGCCCCACTTCACCTCCCCCTCATCCACTTGCCTCGAAAGCGGTGGGGGGAGAGAGGAACCATCGTCCGCGGGCAAGAGATCCTGCTTCCGATCCTCAGCCACCTTGGTGTAGGCATGAGCCCACTTCGCCCCACCAGCCAGCGCCTCCGTGCACCAGTCGGCCCACTTCTGGGCCGTTGCCCCCTTCTCCCTCGGCAAGGATAAAGCGGCCTTAAAATCCACAAGCTGCTGGAGGGCCCAAAAACTATCTGCAATCGCATCGACAAACTGCACGAGGCTGGAGTCCCAGAGCGGTTCCAGAGCAGCGCGGGGGGGCCATCCAGAGCTCCAGGCATCCAGGATGATGAAAGCGAAAAATGCCCCCCGACTCCGTCGTTCGATACGTGGCCTGCAGGAGCTCCCAACAATAATCAGGATCTTTAGAACATCTTCCAGGAACTAACAAACTTCTGATCTCATTACAGCGTCTATCCAACCAGCGAAATGCTCTATACGGGCTTCTCGTTGGGGACCTCTTAGTGCACAGTAGCTCACCCAGGGGGGCCTCGCACAGATCATCGGGTTTGCCTCCTTGGGGCCCTGGGGGGCTCGGTTGGTAGACCCCTTCCAACTCCTTCCAAGCCCTCGAAAACCACTCCTTGCAGGCCTCGTCGAGGCCGCTCTGCAGGGTGCTCACCTCGCTGCTGAAGGGGAGCCTGAAGCCACCTGAGACTTCCAGAGGCTGCAACAGGGAACTGAGCTTCTCAGCTAAGTCCTCACACTCGGGTGAGCGCGGTCTGCATCCAATGGGACAATCCACTGGGGGCCGCGCAAAACTGCGCAACCGCTGCACACGAACGTCGTCCGCCTTGGTGGCGAGCCGAAGGTAGACTGGCCTGCGCGGGAAGATGTCTGATCCCAAGTCCGCTCGGGCCGACTTGACAGCCGGGAGAAGTTGTTTGCCCAAGATAAAGTATTCATAACATTTCCCGGAGTCTGAGCTCACGCACGTGACCATAGGATTGGGTGTAACGCATTGCCCATTCCACTTGTGCGGTGCCAGTCCTTCACGAAGCATATGAGGCTCCATGTTAAAATCTGCAGCACACAAGAAAGGTAACCCTTGACGAAGCACATCTCTACCAAGGATTCGTCCCATGAGCACACTCTTAGGGGCTAGCCCCACACTGTCGTGGAAGCAGCCGCAGTAGAGAGAGATAAAACCCAAGATTTTGACCGAAAATACGCGTGGATCAATCGATACCGAACCAAGTCGCGACTGCTGCAAGGGCCCTGCCAAGCGCCCAGGTGAGAACGAACGAGGATGGCTACACCTGCTGATGAGCCGCCCTTGCCCGTGGTCTCGCATTGTGACCAGGAAGATTGCCAGCCCAATTTTATCATAGACTCTCTTGCCTCCAGTAACTTGACCATGCAGCTTGTGTTCTTGAACGAGTACTATGCGTGCCTCACAACACTTTATGTAGGCGGCCGCAGACGTCCAGCTGTTAGCATTGACGGTGAGGATCAGCAGCGCCTCGGTGGCATACGCCACCTGCTGAGTGCTAAAGACGCCGTCCAGACGCCGCAGCCTCCGCAGCCGCAGCGCCCTATTCGGCAGCCTCGCCCTCAGCCCTCGCTCGTTTCTCTGCTGCACCCTCAGCCTCGTCCGCAGGGCGCCTGCCCGCAAGAGGCTGCTGTGGCATCTCTGAGTCCTGCTCCTCGCGCGCATCCGCTGCCTGACGAGCTGCCTGCTCCGCCTCAGCCGCATGAGCTCCTGCCACTTCTGCGCCCCGTAGTTCAGCTTGAGCATGTTCGAGCTCTTCGCGAACTCCTGAAGCACTTGTCGCCGTCGATGCCGCTGCTCCCGACGATGCCAAGCCGCCCTGCAAGCGGATCTGCTGCGCAAGCTCCTGCCTGGGGGCCCACAACTGCTGCATCAGGCTGGGGTGCAAGTTGCTGCCGAGAAAGTTAATACTATTCAAAAACGCTTGAGCATCCATGTTCGCGCCTCCAGGTCCAAACTGCGTGATCGCACTCGATGCCATGCCTTTCCCCGCTGGCATAGGTGTCGGTAAGGGAATGCCTGGAAGGGGGGAAGTACGGGTCAGCCTGAGGCGCGGGGAACTTCAGGGCCGCCACTCTCTGCTCTAACTCCGTGCACAGCTGCTTGGCTGATTCCAAATCTGCCAACATCAACGCACACTTGATCTCCAGGTCCTCAAATGCCTGGGTCTGATGGTTGCTATACTCCTCCTGGGCCTCCAACTGCTTCTGCGCCTCGTTCAGCTTTGTGATCATAGCCTGCTGCAGCTGGGACTCACTTTTGCCACTGCCGCGGTCGGCCCGCAACGTGCCCAAACTATGGTTGATCGATGCCATGGCCTCCTCCGTATGCTCGAGCGTTGCTCCCTCCTGCTTGGACTCCAGACTCTTCAGCGTGTCTAAGGTGCTCTAGAGCTTGAGGATTTGGGGCTGGGTCTTCGCCGCAGAGGTGGCCTCCTCCCTGTTCTTTTTGCGGCCGCCCTGGTGCTGGTCGCTCGCTGGGCTCATCGCTGGCTCCGCTTGCCAATGGGCCCCACAGCGCCAGCACCATTGGTGCTGAAGACTCACCTGGGCGCTGCATCCTGCACATGTCCAGGAAAAAGACACAGGCGCCTGCGACACGGACGTCACGGTGGAAGACGTGTCCTTGCCCTTGCCCTTGCCACTCTTCGAGGCCTTGCTCTTGTCCTTGCCGCCAGCACCTCGACCGCCAATAGCGGCTAAGGAGGTACTGAGTGATGTGCTCACGCCTGCGGGCAGCAGATGTGCGTGTGTGAGCAACAATCTGGCGCTGCGCCACCTCGAGCCCTGACCCCACTCCTTGGAGGGGAAATGGCCTTGAGCCAGGCTGGCTACGGAGTCCTCCTCCTCCTCCTCCTCCTCCTCCTCCTCCTCCTCCTCCTCCTCCTCCTCACTCCTCCTCCTCCTCCTCCTCCTCCACCTCCTCCTCCTCCTCCTCCTCCTCCTCCTCCTCCTCCTCCTCGTCCTCCTCATCGTCGTCATCGTCATCATCATCATCATCATCATCATCATCAGCATCATCATCATCATCATCAGCAGCAGCAGCAGCATCATCATCACCATCATCATCAGCATCATAATCATCAACATCATCCTCATCATCATCAGCAGCAGCATCATCATAATCATATTCATCATCAGCAGCAGCATCATGATCAGCATCACCATCATCAGCATCAGCATCATCATCATCACCATCACCATCACCATCACGAGCATCATCATCATCATCATCAGCAGCAGCAGCATCAGCAGCAGCAGCATCAGCATCATCATCAGCAGCATCAGTATCGTCATCAGCAGAAGCAGCATCATCAGCATCAACAGCATCAACATCATCAGCAGCATCAGCATCAGCATCATCATCATCCTCATCATCATCCTCATCATCCGAATCATCCTCAGCATCATCCTCATCCTCATCATCATCAGCATCAGAATCACCATCATCATCATCAGCATCATCATCAGCATCATCATCATCATCATCATCATCATCATCATCATCATCATCATCATCATCATCGGTATCATCCTCAGCATCATCATAAGCATCAGCAGCATTATCATCATCTGCAGCAGCATCATCATAACCACCACCACCATCATCATCACCACCACCATCATCAGCAGCAGAATCATCATCAGTATCATCATCAGCGGCACCAGTATCACCATCAGCACCATCATCGTCATCATCAGCATCATCTGCAGCATCATCATCATCATCATCATCATCATCATCATCATCATCATCATCATCACCCTCATCATCAGCATCATCATCTGCGGCAGCAGCATCTGCCTTCCTACCATCCGCATCAACCTCCTCCCTCTCATGCTCCTCCCCATCCTCATCCTGGTCCTAATCCTAATCATCTTTCCCCTCCGCCGCCTTCCCTCTCTCCAACTCCTCCGTCCATCCCTCCTCTTCTCCCTCCATCTCTCCGCACAGTCAAGCTACGAATACGGAGAGCGCTACATAAGAAACGAAGCCCCTGTCTAGCCCAAACAGCGCCCGTAGGCACGAGGAGCGCTGTAGGAATGACCATGGAAGGACCTGAGGAACAGCGAGACCCTTCCGAGCCTGAACTGATCCTTACTTCAGCGTGTCGACTGTACCTGCCTCCTTGCCCCACTACTTCTGCCGGCGACTCCAAAGGGTGTGGTTTGCAAAGGGTGTGGTTTGCAACCGGCACCCTGGGGAACATCCTGGGGGTCACCCTGGGGGGCGCGCGGGGACCTCGATAGAGTTCTCCCGCGCCCCGAGGAGGCCCGACGTGGACAGTGTCGTGCCCCCCAGGCCCCAACGGTGCCCATCGCAAACCACACCCCGGCGTAACCACACCCTTTGTAGTCGCCGATTCTGGGCCCCTTCTCGGCCCGGCCCGTCTCGCAGCGCCCGGTGCCGCTGCCGCTGTCGCCCCGAGCGCCGACCAGCCCTGCGGCCCGCGCGGTGCCCATGGCCTCGGGAGCAGGACCGCCGTCCAGCAGAGCTGAGGAGCAAGAGCTGGACACATCGCTCGTCGTCCGGTCTCTCCGATCATCGCACGCTCCTCCTCCGCCCACTGCGGTTGGGGGGGGTCGGGCCTGGCTGCCACCCCGCGAGGCGCACATCGGGCAGGCGGAGCAGCGCGCGTAGCTGCACACGTGCTGCTTGGCGCGCTTGCCGCTGCGGCACCACGCCTGGCACTCCTCAGTGCTGTTGGCGTCCTGGGGTCGAAAGAGGAGGAGGAGGAGGAGGAGGAGGAGGAGGAGGAAGAGGAAGAGGAGGAGGAGGAGGAGGAGGAGGAGGAGGAGAAGGAGGAGAGAGGAGAAGGATGAAGGATGGGAGGAGGAGGAGGAGGAGGAGGAGGAGGGAGGAAGAGGAGGAGGGAAAAGGAGAGGAGGAGGGGAAAGGAGAGGAGGAGGGAAAAGGAGAGGAGGAAGGGAGAGAATGAGGAGGAGGAGGAGGAGGAGGAGGAGGAGGAGGAGGAAGAGAAAAAGGAAAACCAGTGTAGACCCGGGACGTGTCAACGATGTTGCAATAAACCCTTCCTCCAACTTCCCTCTTCATAGATCCCTAGAAGAATGTATTTTGACTCCGGGATGTGATCTATTGGACGGCAACAGTCTACGAATCAAGAACCGTGCCAAAAAAACATTCCTGGGACTTCAACTCCGCGGATCAATATGAAAGCTGCGCCCTGACACAAATCGTGCCAGAACACCCTTCCTTTGATTCCAACACCGCAAATCACTGCGATTGTTGCGTATTGAGAACGCTGAATCGTGCCAGAACACCGCTCCTTGGACCTCGACCATACGAACCCTCGAGACTGTTGTAAAGTTTCTACACAGATGCGCGCGGCGCTAGTGCGAGAACGACATGTTGAGAAGGTCCCGCCCTCCTCCCTTGAAGCTGCTGAAAATTTGTGTAAGACGACTGTGCGCAGCGCTGAGGCGAGAACCTCATGTTGATAACGACCCGCCCTGCATCCTTGAAACTTTTGCGCGGCGCTGAAGCGATAACCACATATTAGAAAACACCCGCCCATCATCCGTGAAACTGTTGTAAAGTTCAAGCATCATGGTCATACATGGTGACAAAGTCAGGAGGAAGGCAAGGAGGAGGAGGAGGAGGAGGAGGAGGAGGATAAGGAAGAGGAGGAGGAGGCAAGAGGACGACGATCACCTGACTTGGCACCGTTCCTGCGAGCACAAATCGCCATTGTAATCCACTACCTCCAAATAGCCCAAGAAGACTACAGAGCAAGAGGCAGAGAGAAACGGAAGTCCCCGCCGTGAGAGGGAACAGAAAGCACAATCGGGCACGTGAAGAAGCGGATGAGGGCAGCGGTTCCCAGGTAACATGACCGACAGCCAGAAAGAGCTAGGATCCCGAGGGGGGTGAACGAAGCCTGGCGCATGGCGTACCTCAGCGAGTCGTCCAAAGAGCGCCACATGACGCCCCGAAATAGCCTTAAGACGACCCAAGAGTGTTCTAAGAGGCCCCAAGAGGGCTTCAGGAGACCTCGCCAGAAGGCCCCGAGAGGCCTAAATCGTTGACGCTCCGTAGGTCTCGCCTTCTCGGGCTTCAGACACTCCAAGACGGTCCAAGGTGGCCTGGCCTTAAGACGACCCAAGAGTGTTCTGAGAGGCATCAAGAGGACTTCAAGAGACCTCGCCGAAGGCCCCCAGTGGACAAAATCGTTGACGTTCCGTAGGTCTCGCCTTCTCGGGCCTCAGACACTCCAAGACGGACCAAGGGTCACTGCACCGACCTTGCAGGCGTGCTGCAGCGGATTTTTGCGTGGAGTTCTGTCAATACAAAACCCCGAAATGGCGAGCGAAAAACAAGGTGGATTTCGCGTGGATTTGTTGTTGGTCTTCATTCCTGGCCAAAAAAGACCCGCACGAAATTCACTTCGAAATCCGGAACGAAATTCTCCAGGACCCTCCAGGCCCATACTGTCTGTTTCCGAACGATATCCGCTCTGCAAAGTTGGCGCCATGACAAGGGGCCCCCAAGATGGCCCAGGAGGCCCCCAAGACGAGCGCAAGAGGCCCTCAAAGATGCTTATTCGTTGCCCTCTTCTTCCTCCCTCCGCATCCCTGCTCTTCCTCCTCCATCCCTTCCCTCTTCCCGACCTCCCTCCTCATCTTCCTACACCTCCCCCCCCCTCCCCGCACTCCTCGTCCTCCTCCTCCTCCTCCTCCTCATCCTCCTCCTCCTTTTCCTCAGCCTCCTCCTCGTCCTCCTCCTCCTCCTCCTCCTCCTCCTCCCTCCTCCTCCTCCTCCTCCTCCTCCTCCTCCTCCTCCTCCTCCTCCTCCTCCTCCTCCTAATCCTCCTCCCCATTCCCTTCCTCCTCCTCCCTCCTCCTCCTCCTCGTCGCCGTCGTTGTCGTCCTCATCAGCATCATCATCATCACCACCACCACCACCACCACCATCATCATCATCATCATCATCAGCATCATCATCATCATCATCAGCATCATCATCACCACAACCACCACCACCACCATCATCATCATCATCATCATCATCCTCATCATCTTCAGCATCATCATCACAATCACTCATCAGCATCATCATCATCATCATCATCATCAACATCATCATCATCTTCATCATCATCATCAGCAGCATCATCATCGTCATCGTCATCATCAGCATCATCGTCATCATCAGCAGCATCAGCATCATCGTCATCATCATCGTCATCATCATGATCGTCACCATCACCATCGTCATCATCATAGTCATCATCATCATCATCATCATCATCGACAGCATCGTCATCACCATCACCATCCTAATCATCATCATCGTCATCATCATCATCAGCATCATCATCACCATCGGCATCATCAGCATCATAAGTATCGTAGTCCGCATGATGCTCATCATCGCCATCATCGTCGGCATCATCATCATCAGCAGCAGCATCATCAGCATCATCATCAGCATCATCATCAGCGTCATCATCATCAGCATCATCAGCATCATCGTCAGCATCATCATCATCGTCATCAGTATCGTCGTCCGCATAATCATCATCATCATCGTCAGCATCATCATCATCATCAGCAGCAGCATCATCACCAGCATCATCATCAGCATCATCAGCATCAGCATCATCAGTATCGTCGTCCTCATGATCATCATCATCATCAGCAGCATCAGCATCACAATCATCATCATCATCATCATCATCATCATCATCATCATCAGCAGCAATATCATCATCAGCATCATCATCAGCATCATCATCAGCATCATCAGCATCAGCAGCATCAACATCAGCATCATCAGCATCATCAGCATCATCATCATCAGTACCGTCGTTCTCATGCTCATCATCATCATCATCAGCAGCAGCAGCATCATCACCACCATCATCATCAACACCATCATTATCAGCATCACCAGTATCGTCGTCCTCGTCATCATCATCAGCATCACCATCATCATCAACAGCATCAGCATCATCGTCATCATTAGCATCATCATCATCATCATCATCATCGTCATCAGTATCGTCGTCCATCATCGTAATCATCATCATCATCAGCATCACCATCATCGTCATCATCAACACCATCATTGTCACCCATCACCATCATCAGCATCAGCATCATCATCAGCAGCATCAGCATCATCAGCATCATCATCAGCATCATCATCAGCAGCATCATCATCAGCATCATCATCAGCATCATCAGCATCATCAGTATCGTCGTCCTCATGATCATCATCATCAGCAGCAGCATCATCACCACCACCATCATCATCAATGTCAGCCACCACCATCATCAGCATCAGCATCAGCATCAGCATCATCGTCGTCATCAGAATCATCGTCGCTTTCGATTGGCAGTGAGGTCAATCTCGCGAGCCTGCCCTGCGATCTCCCACGTCACACCTGTCCCACGACCTCGAGCGCCGTGGCGCACTTGCTACCACATACTGTAAAACAAATCTGGCGTGGCTTGATAGTAACATTCATTATTGGCCCCATCATCCCCAACACCATCATCTACATCGGCATCATCGTCATCACCATCAACGTCATCACCACGAACAGCATGCTCATCCTCCTCCTCCTCCTCCTCCTCCTCAGGAGGGGTGGGTGCTCTGTGTAAGGTCATAAATTGTTTTTCTTGGCCGTCGCCGGTGGAGACCCTAATTGAATTAAGGTGTCCTACACGATGTAACAAAGGGGGCTGGTTCCTGGCGAAACGTTGGCCCGAGTTTAGACCAGGTCCCAAAAAGGGTTTTCCTGAATTCTTGGCCCCGTCCTTCCTGCATACACACCCTCTATTCGTTACTCGCTGTCGGATGTTTAATTCGTGCCTCTGCGTTTCCCGCAGACAGACCCGCGCCAACTTCCCCCCGCCGTGTCCCTGGCCCAAGGATGGCGCCTCTTGATTCCTGGGTGCTCCTCCCTGGAAGGACGCTCCCCCTCCTTTTCCTCCTCCTCGTCCTCCTCCTCCTCCTCTTCCTCCTCCTCCTCCTTCTCCCCCATCCTCCTCCTCCTCCTCCTCCTCCTCCTCCTCCTCCTCCTCCTCCTCCTCCTCGTCCTCCTCCTCATCCTCCTCCTCCTCCTGCATCTTCCTCCTCCTCCTCCCCCTCCTCATCCCCTTCCGTTCCAGTGTCCTGCACGCACCATGCGAAACCATTTCTCCTCGTCTTCCTCGTTACTCGAGCGGTCCTTCTGGCGCCTCTGCCGCTGCGCCCCCCGACTGCCCAGCGCCAGCTTGCCGGCCGGCGCGGCAGGCGCAGGCGCCGCTGCCGCCGAGGCGCCTCGGACCTCAGCGACAGCCCCATCGCCCGAGGAGGAGCAGGAGGAGGAGGAGGAGGAGGAGGAGGAGGAGGAGGAGGAGGAGGAGGAGGAGGAGGAGGAGTGGGAGGAGGAGGGGGAGGGGCAGGGGGAAGAGGAGGGAGAGGGATGGAGGAGGAGGCTGGAGCCAGAAGGGGAGCCCGAGGAGTGGGCCACAGGACATGCTGGCACGATGTGCTTCCGTGGGGGGCGCCCATCCGAGCCGAGCGTGCAGTGCAAACGTCTTACAGCACAGCGTGACCCGAGGCGCGCGGCCAGAGAGCACCCGCCACCGAGCACGTACTGTAAGACTTCTCGGTGCGCACGCCGCCCCCTGTGGGGGCGACGCGCACACAGTATTGGAATGGTAAGGTGACGCCGAAGGAGGGAGGGCGCAGGAAGGCGACGCCCACTCTGGCACGGGCCACGGCAAGGACGACGACGACGACGACGACGACGACGACGACGACGACGACGACGACGACCGACGACGACCGACGACGACGACCGATGACGACATTCGAGTGGCACCCACGTGGGCAGAAAACCGACTCGGGCGAGCTGGCCCGAGGGCAGTTCAAGGTACACCCGCAGCTGAAGCCGACGTCGAAACTGCAGTGCACAGCAACATGGAAAGGGCCAACCAACCCCGAGGAAGCGGAACAGGATGAGGATCGGCGGCTCCGAAAGGTGTGGCTTGCACAGGCTGTGGTTTGCAACCGGCACCCTGAGGCGCACCCGGGGGGCCGGGCGAGGACCTCGACAGAGGGACAGCGTCGTGCCCCCCAAGCCCCAACGGCGCCGATCGCAAACCACACACCAGCGTAACCGTGCCTCCTGATAGACGCCGAGGGGAACGGCGGCGGCAGTGGCCTTGGCACGGGCAGGAGAAACGTCCTCGGGCGGCCTCGATCGAGACTTCCTCAACACATCCTCATGCTAGACATCCGCCTGGGCGACCTGGACGCGTGAAAACAAGCGTCTCGCTCGAGACATCCTCAACAAATCCTCATGCTAGACATCTGTCTGGGCGACCTGGACGCGTGAAACCAAGCGTCTCGCTCGAGACATCCTCAAGACCTGGGCACGTGAAAGCAAGCATTTCACTTGAGAGATCCTCTGCATTCTGGTCCCCAGGAGAGGACAATCTATAACACGAAACAAGCGTTTCGCTAGAGACATCGTCAACAATTTCTGCAAAACAAGCGTTTCGCTCGGGACATCCTCAAACATAATCTCGCCGGCCCTACGCGACCTCGTTATCTACCGCAAATCCGCCGACCCTGAGGGCGTGTGTGAGGGGCTTCTCCGTTCGCGTCGTGCTTGCATTCCTGCTCGACTTTCTCTAGCCGCATCCAGCTTCCACTCACCGTTCTCCCGCTCTCCGTCAGCAGAGTCCTCTTCCTTGCACATGCCGTGCCAAGCAATTAATTGAACGTCGTCAATATTTCGAAGGGAAGCCCCTTCCCTTTTCCCTTCCCCGGTGCCATCCTCGCCCTCTAATGTGAATCCGATTCCTGCAAGTCAAATTTCTGAAACTCCGGCTGGGGCTCAGAGTTCGAAGGACGTTTGACACTAAGTGCACCCCCCGAGCGAGAGTGCCCAACACCCCAGCGTCAATTGGACCCTCAGGGGTTGGGCTCGCATTTGGTCGTAGACCTCCTGATCTTCCCTCTTCCTCTGCCCCTCGGACCGACCCCTTCCCCTCGTCCGACTCCCACAGATCTGTTATGGGTTTTTGAGCCCACCAGGAAGCATGCCAAAGCAGGGGACCTTGAAGTCGGCGTCAATCCTGTCGTCGGGATGCAGCTTGTTCCAAGCAGTGGAGAGGCCAACGAGAGTGTGCCTGAGGTGGTTGAGGTGCACCTCGTCCTCTCAGGGGTATCCCAGCCACTCGTTCCCCCTCCCTCTCGCAGTCAGTCTCTTCCGCGCCGTCACCTTCCCCCACCTGCTCCTCCTTCTTTGTCCTACTCCACCACTATTCTCCGCATCCCCCTCCTCATCAGTTGCTCTTCCTACGCCATGTCCATATCGACCTCCTTCTGTACCTATGCCGCCTTCACCACTACCACCACCGCCTCCTCCTCCTCCTCCTCCTCCTCCTCCTCACGCTTGTCCTGCCGCCGTCTCCAACTCCTCATCATTCTCAGACTCCTCAGCCTCCTCCTCCTCCTCCCCGTCCTCCTCCTCCTCTTCCACTTACATGTCCTGCTCATCCTCCTCCATAGCCTCCTCATCATAATCATCATCACCATCATCATCATCATCATCATCATCCTACTCATCATCATCAGCAGCAGCAACGGCATCATCATCAGCATCATCCTCAGCAGCATCAGCATCATCATCATCATCATCATCATCATCATCATCAGAATCATCATCATCATCATCATCATCATCATCATCATCAGCATCAGCATCAGCATCATCATCTGCAATATCATCATCATCAGCATCATCAGCAGCAGCGGCATCATCATCACCATCATCAGCACCATCATAATCATCATCGTCGTCGTCGGCATCATCATCAGCATCCTTATCCTTATCCTTATCCTCATCATCATCCTCATCATCATCCTGATCCTCATCCTCATCATCACTAGCAGCATCATCATCAGCATCAG